TGGTGCTGCAGGAGTTGGAGCTGGAGGTGCTGGAGCTGTTGCTGCTGGAGGTGCTGCTGGAGCTGGAGCTGCTGGAGGTACTGGAGCTGGTGGTGCTGCGGGAGTTGGAGCTGGAGACCCTGGAGCTGGGGGTACTGGTGCTGTCTCTGCTGTTTCTGGAGGCGCTGCGCGGCCGCGGCCGTACTACGTTCCGCTCCTTCAGCAGGTTCTTGGCCTCCCGCTTTCCACTGGTCCTCCTCCTCCCTTACTGAGTCCACAGCTTGACCAGTCGCAGTCACAGTTACAGCCAGCCTCTCCACTGCCTGGTCCTTCTCCTTACTCTGGGCCGACTAGGGGTCTTACGGAGCGTCGTGTGCCAGAGTCTCGTCCTGCGTCACCTGAGTCTCATCCTGCGTCACCTGAGTCTCGTCCTGCGTCGCCTGTTCGCGCTGTCCGCACTGGTCGTCGTGTTCCGCGTCAGCGTCCTCCCCCTGTCCCTGGCCCACACCTAATGGCACTTCGTCCTTCCACTGCTCCGCAGCGTGTCCCTCTGCCGTCTCCTCCTGCGTCCTCTCTTCCTGACGGTCCGGACCCGGAGTCTGACTCCCTTCGTGCTGCTAGTCCTACTGTCACGCGTCTCCTGGCCACTGTAGTCACTGACCCTTCGTTTGAGTCCACTGCTGCGTCTGCTCTCGTTGCTGAGCTTGTTGACTTTGCTGCCGCCTGTCGTCTAGACTACGCCGCTAGTCTTGTTGCTGAGTCTGAGTCTGAGTCTGTCTGTCCTCCGTCCGTCGGGGGTGAGTGTGCTCTTGGCACGGACGTCCTTGAGGACAGACAGGAGGAGTTTGAGTGCTTTGCCACTGCTTTACCTCATCTCGTGTCCATGCTGCTTGCCCCTGAGGGAGACCCGGATGCACCAGACATCCCGACCCCGCGCTCTTACGCAGAGGCGATAGAGGGTCCCTACTCCTCTTAGTGGCAGACAGCCATGGACGCAGAGATGGCTTCCTACAGGCACCTACGTCGACGAGGTTCCCCCGCCTGGGGCGAACATTGTCAGTGGCATGTGGATTTTCAGGGTGAAGCGGCCACCGGATTCTCCGCCTGTCTTCAAGGCGCGTTACGTTGCACAAGGCTTCAGTCAGCGAGAGGGAGTTGACTTTTTCCTGACCTTCTCCCCTACCCCGAAGATGACCACTCTTCGGGTTCTGCTGCACGTCGCCGCTCAGCGTGACTACGAGCTTCACTCTCTTGACTTCAGCACTGCTTTCCTACAGGGCAGCCTGCACGAGGAGATCTGGCTGCGCCGCCCACCTGGCTTCACTGGGTCGTTTCCTGCTGGTACCCAGTGGAGCCTCCGGCGGCCAGTCTACGGTCTCCGCCAGGCGCCCCGTGAGTGGCACGACACACTGAGGACGACTCTTGCGGCCCTTGGGTTTGCTCCTTCCACTGCTGACCCGTCGCTGTTTCTACGCATCGACACCTCTCTGCCGCCGTTCTTCGTTCTCGTGTACGTCGGCGACTTGGTCTTTGCTACTGCTGACACTGAGGGACTCGCCCACGTGAAGTCGGAGCTGCAGAAGAGACACACGTGCACAGACCTGGGTGAGCTGAGCAGCTATCTTGGCTTGCGGATCACCCGGGACAGAGCACAGCGCACCATTACCTTGACTCAGTCACACATGGTGCAGCAGGTCCTTCAGCGCTTCGGCTTCACGTACTCCTCGCCACAGCACACTCCTCTGCCTACTCGCCACTCGCTCTTAGCTCCACCTTCGGACGAGTCCGTAGAGCCGAGTGGTCCGTACCCAAAGCTTGTGGGCTGCCTCATGTACCTGATGACCTGCACTCGACCTGACCTTGCCTACCCTTTTAGCATTCTGGCACGCTATGTCGCTCCTGGGAGACACAGGAAGGAGCACATGGATGCCGCTAAGATGGTGTTGCGCTACTTGTGCAGTACGTCGAGCATGGGGCTCGTGCTTGGAGGACGGGCTCGAGTTGTCCTCACTGGTCACGCAGACGCTTCCTGGGCTGACGATTTGGCTACGCAGCAGTCGTCACAGGGTTACACCTTCAGTCTTGGCTCCGGCTCTGTTTCTTGGCGGTCTATCCGCTCGTCTTCTGTTCTCAGCTCCAGTTGTGAGGCTGAGATCTTCGCAGGGGTCATGGCTGCACAGGAGTTACGCTGGCTCACCTACCTGCTGACTGACCTGGGAGAGCCGCCTCGTTCTCCTCCAGTGCTGTACGTCGACAACAAGGCCATGATTGCCTTGTGTCAGGAGCACAGACTGGAGCACAGAACGAAGCACATTGCTCTGCGCTACTTCCTTGCTCAAGAGTTGCAGCAGCGTGGTCAGCTTCGTCTTGCTTACGTGGCCACACGGGCCAACACTGCTGATGTCTTCACCAAGGCGCTTCAGCCTTGTGATCATCAGCGTTTCTGTACTGTTCTAGGCCTTGTGCCTACTGTGCCTCACTTGCTTACTTCTTGACTCTGCTTGTACTGTGATCTCTCTATATATACCTGCATGCTTACACTTGCTAGGTTGTGATCACTGTATTGCTTGTTCTCCTTTTTCTAACTCTGCATGTGAACTGGCCTTGTGGCCATTTGCTTGTGCTCAGAATGCGTGGTGACGTCGTGATCCACCCTGAGCTTCCTTTGCCTTTCCTTACTGGTCTTGTGACCTCTTGTTCTCCCCCACTTTGCCTATGGGGGTGTGTCAAACTTATATGCTATAGTCTGTGTAGGCTGTAGCTGGGTAGCTCATATGGGGTACAACACTTTAGGGTTTCCTACTTGTACTCCTCATGCTGCTCAATGCAATCATTCCTCGTTCTATCTTTTCACATCAACTTCAGCTCATGTCATGATACACACTTAGAACAGCTAGTATGAGAGCCGCTGTACTTGAACAAGAAACATTTTCTCACGACTAGCGCGAGCGTTAAAAAAAAGCCATTCACTTCGATTTATTTCACCACATCATCTCGCGGACTTCTCTCATTCTCTTGTGTTGTGCAGCTGTCAAGTTCGCGCTTCTATTATCTCGCTGCCATGTCCAAAACTTGGCGATTTCTTATGCTATCGGTCAGTTGCTAATTGTTTCTTCGAGCCATGTGTGCTGCTTTATAGGGATCAACTACCGTCATCTCGGGCACTTGTGTGTGGAGCTCTAGATTCCGTTTACGAGGTAAGCAAACCCCCCGTATTGCCTTTGTGCTCTTCCACTACCTTTTACTGAACTTATCCAATTTGCTCTTTCCTCCAGGCTACTCTCCGTGGCGAGGCTCTTGACGTGTCAAGGCACGTCATCTGGTAAGCCGTTTCCTGCTAACGTGTCGCGTGTTCGTTTCAACAGCATCGTTTTCGACTCCTTTGGCACTCTTTTCGCATTATTCGTGAGGTACGAATCCTGCTTGGCGCCTTGTCGCTGGGACGTGCCCGTTTTTCTGCTGTTTTTGTTATTCCTGTTTTTCGCCGTCTGCTATGTTGCAGGAGCACGCATTGTACTTAGGGTAGTGAGCAATGCACGGAGGGCTTGCCACAGGGAGTTCATAGATTTGAAATGCTCTGTATGTTGGCTATACACGTTTATCCGCATGTTAGCTATACACGTTTATCTGCATGTTATCAAGTGTTGAAGTATTGATATTTAGTGTGCTATGCTATAGTGCAAATATGACGAAATGGTTGAAATGCACACATTTGGTAATAAATGATTTTATAACGAAATGTACAATTTTAACGATTTTGTCTGAATGCAATTGCATGACGAGTATCGAGTCAGACTCAAACGGGCAGACCTGAGGGTGCATTTATCGAAAATCCTTTTGTATCACTTTTCTATACACACACGCATCCTAAGACTTTTCGTAAATTCGAGACTGTAGCGAATACCGAGTCAGCCTTAAAGCGAGTATCGGAAAAGTTGATTGATCGATTGTAAGGAATAGTAATTGCGAATGCACTGGGTGTACCGTTGAGAGCTTCACAGCTTCACGAACCGTTTACTGTACAGTGGGCAGCGGAGCGACGTTTGATTCGCTCCCGCATGATGGGAGGGATTTCCCGTTGGTCACCACTTGTGGGTGACCTCGGGGTCACCACGCAAAGTGACTTTTGCCGAGGTGACCCGCGGGTCACCTAGACAAGGACCCCGGGGTTACCGGCTACGGGGTAAGCTGTGGGTAACCTAGGGGGAGGGTTTTGGCCCGAACCTTTTTGGGATGCTTGCTGTCATCAGGACCGACCTAGTCAAACAGAGTACTTTTGTCTGCAGTGGGAAAAATATGACCAGACAGGAAAATGCGTATGCATACTGTATTGTAGAAGTGGCATCATTGTCTTGTAGTAAGGATGTAGCAGTAGCTCAGCAGCAACTCTGGTTGCTTCTTCCAACATCAGTGTTGTCGTTTCTCAATGTGTCCACACCAGCAAGGCACCACAAAAATCTCAAACAAAACTCAACCCAGCTCATCTCAGCCATCGTATCATCTTTCAACAGGGAGTCCCTGTGACGAGGATAATGTTTTCTTGAAGCTGAGTTGGACTTGTTCGGCTTTCCAGTTTCTCTGCTTCGCCTCGGTCCTGTTTTGGAGATACCAACACAAAGACCCTCATTTTGATGCTGATATGTACGATTTTCACGCGGATTACTTGTCATGCTCCTGCCGGCCCAACCGTACTGCTCCTGTCATTTAGTCCTTCTACTAGTAGTTGTTGCCTTTTTCTATCAATCTTTATGTTTTTTTTCCATCATTTGCGCTTGGTCGTCCAGCTTCATTGCGAAGTTAGCTGTTGTATAAGGCATTTCCTGCCATGCCCTTGCAAGCAGCGCCAGCTAATTGCTTTCCCACTGACGCCATTCCCGTCAACGTGGCTAGTAATGACAGATCCTAAATCTGTACTCCAAGTGGCGTCAGAGCCTGAGTTGCCTGCTGCTGTGCTGCTGCGAGAACTCCTTGCTTGACCCATTCTCCCGCTATCGACCGCATCGTTTCGAAGGCACCAAGGCATGATGGCGCGTTTGCACGGCCGCGTGGTGACGCGGCGCTCTGGCCTCGTGTTCGCTGCACAGGCTGCTCTCATGCTCTCAGGTGTGCTCTCTTTCTCGTGGTTATGCGCTCATCTTCTCAGGTATGCTCTCATGCTCAGTTGTGCACTCTAGTAGGTCTCACGTATGCATGTCTAATTACTTGGCTGAAGTTTATCACGAAACTGCCAGTGGTGATCCATCTCCTGACAAAAGTTCTCCTCCTCCACCGATCCCAAACGCCGCATGACGCCGCGTTGGTCACTGCCCTTAGCAACCTCAGCTCAGCTGCTCTTCACCCCGAACATTCCCGTTCTGCCTTCTCTTTACCCGCACCTTCCATCTTCGTTCGCCCCCCTTTGCCCCGTCCCCTCCCCCCTTTTTCCCCTTTCCCCAGTTCTACCCCTCCCTCCTCTAACTCCCCTCCCCCCCATTCTCCCATTTCCCAGCCGCATCATTGTTTTCGTTTCAAAGAGGCTCTTTCGTGCACCTTGTGCGTCCAAAGCCCCCCCTCTTCAGCCTTAGGTTCCCTTACCCCCTCATCCCATCCCCTTTCCTCTCTATTCTCTCTCACCCCCCTCCCTCTCCCTCATCCGCTCTCAGCAAGTGCGCCCAGGGTATATCTACCTTTCCTTGCCTCATCCTAATCCTCCTTCCTCTCTTTCGTATTCCCCTTCTCCTGTCACCTTCCCCTCTCCCTCATCCGCTCTCAGCCTGTGCGCCCAGGGCCGTTTCTGTTTGCCTCATTTCTCATCCTCTTCCCTTTCATTTCCTCCCATCCCCCCCCCCCCCCCCCCCCCCCCCCACACCCCTTGCCCTCTCCCTCATCCCTCTTAGCCTGTGCGCCAAGAACTGCTGCTGTTCGCCTGCCAGCTGCGAGTAACGCCCCTCACCATAAGTCAGCGGCCTGTACTTACCACCACACCAGGGCTGAAACGGAACACTTGATGGGGCTGCTGAAACGCACCATTGCCAGCTCTCTTTCCCTCAAACCCTTAAGGATGTGACACCGGCTGCTCTCTTTCCATTCACCCTGTTGGTTTGCATTTCCCCCTCCTGGCTCGTCCACACTTGGAAGTCTTTTCAGACTTGTGAACAACCCCGGAGGATGCGAGCCTTGGGAAATCCCAAGGTGATGAGGCGAGCTGTTCCCAGCACTCTTTGCTCTCTCCGTTCCATTCCTCTCCCTGTCCCATTCCTCTCCTCGTTCCGGGACCCCTTTCCTCCTCTCTCTTCCTACTCGCTTCCTTCCTCCTCCCTCTCTGTTCCTTTCGCCTCATATTCGCCAGACTCGTGCGTGCAGCGGAGGTGTGGCGCCAATGCGGTGTGCGTGAAGGAGAGGGGCGCTTAGGAGATGTGGCTCGGCGTAGCGTTGTAATTTGAACTCGAGATGCGATCGGTGGGGTTTGGAAATCCTCCCCAGCTAACTGGGTTCCAGGGTAGGGCCTTGTCTATCCTGCCCCACAATCTGCCGTGTGCAGAACCGGGAGAAACACAGGGTTGATTGGCAGCAACCAGACACTCAACTGTCAAAATATGCATGCATATTTGTGTTAGTCTATAATGAGGCTTGCTGTAGTGTGTGTGACACTGGATTCGTGCTGCAGCCTGGTGGCACCACATGCACCGGTATGTGCCATGACATGCGCTGTGGCGTGCGTGCGACATGTGCTATGTGTCAGAACTTGTGCTTAGAATCCATGCATTAGTAATGAGCTGAAGGCTCTTTAAGTACATCAGAAATGGGCAAGGTAAGGATGGGGAGAGAATCGAGGCCAATCCAAGGGGATTGGGGGTAATCCCAAGGCAATCTCCAATTGCTGGGTTGGAGATTGCTTGGAGATCACATTTGGGTCTGGTTGGGATGTGGGTGTACACCCAACCAAACACAAAGTGCACACTACACTAGGATATAAAAGTGCAAGTACAAAATGTGAGATTGAGGGCTAACACTAACACTATGCCATGTTCTGTGCCATGTGCCATACCATGCCTTGTGCTATGCCATGTGCAGGGCTTATGCTATTAGGGTAAATGCCCTCAAAACGTGGAATCCCAATAGCCCTTCCTCCTCCGCCCCAGACACATGTGCACTAAAGTCGTGTGGTGGCAACGCCAGGTGCACCAAGGACAGTGCTGGAGTGGCCTCCTGTGTTTGTGACACTGGCTTTGATCTTCAAACTGATGGCAGAACATGCACTGGTACGTGCTGATGTGACTGTGCTTCGCTTGGTATATGCTGCTGCTACCCGTCATACTCACTCTGTTCATTCTAAGGTCCACCTCTCCTCCACACACACACCCTCAATAACTCCCTGTTTATTTTCCTACACATATTGCCCTTCCCATTGACTGTTCCTGGTGGCTCTTCGCCTTGGCACATACATGTGTGCTCAAGCGGTGTGGTGGAAACGCCACATGCATCAAGAGCAATGCAGGGGTGCCGTCCTGTGTTTGTGACTCTGGCTTCGAGATACAGCCTGATGGCACCACATGCACTGGTATGTGCTGATTTGGCTGAGGAAGCTGCTGGAGGAGATAGGGCACGAGCAGAAGACTGCCACATCGCTGTTTTGTGACAACTCCAGTGCCATTGCAATGTCCAAGAATGCTGTGCTGCATGGGCTCACCAAGCATATGCAGATCAAATGGCATTGGCTGCGCAAGGAGGTGCAGAGGGGATCCATCCAGCCCCTCTATGTGAAAACGCAGCAGCAGCCGGCAGATTTTCTCACGAAGCGGCTTGCTGAAGAACCCCACTGGCGCTGTGCTAAGTTGTGCGGCATGAGCCTTAACTAGGCTCACGCAAAGGGAGTGCAAGCAGGCGACTGCTTGAGGGGGAGTTTGTTGGGTGCAAAATAATAATTATGCACTGCAACCAGCCGCCTGCATGACGTTACGCATTTTGTGTGTGTTCTGTGTGCATTCGTTTTCGCATTTTGTTTCATGTGTTGTTGCTGTGGGATCATGTTTGGTCATGACGGATCATGACGAGTCATGTTCGTTCATGTCGGCTCATGTTCGTTCATGTCGGCTCATGTACGCTCATGTTTGTTTTCATCAACGAACATGTGCGCTCATGAAAGTTCTGTGTTTCATGAGTGTTCTGTGTTTCATGAATGTTGAGTTGTTTTCATGAGAGTTGTTGTGAGTGTCGAGTGTGTTTGGTCTTGGGGCTCGATTGTTTGACCAGCCCCGTTGACCATTTCGCGCTGGTCAACAAAAAGTGCGCGATGTCAGGACCCGCGCGTGGGGTCCTGACACACGCGTGTGGCCCGTCAGAACATGCGCGTGTGTCGTCACTGTTTCAATCGTGCACAGTGCGCACGATCGCTACAGGACGGAGCGAATGATCGCTCCGTCACGCGCAGGACAACGCACGATCGCGTCAGCGAACGTCTTGTCTTGCACGACCGAGAAATATCTCGGTCGTGATGAGGGGCATGTGGGGCACGTGGGGCACTCGGGATTCTACAGTTGACTAGCGGGATTTCGCGCTGACTTGGCGTGCAGGAAAATTCGCCAGAAAGTCGCGCTGCTTTGCGTCATTATTTCAACAGTGGTACAAAACGGTAAAGCCTGTTTTGTAACTGAAAAACGGGAAACCCACACGAGTGTTCATGATTTGTACACGCGCGATCATGAACGTTCATGAGGGGAGTCAGCAGGAGAATTTGGCAGCAGTGCAGTGGAAGACGGTTATTCTACAGTGGCAGATCAAGCCAAATTCAAGAGCAGTTAAACAACCGTTTTCAATGACAGCAAGGCGAAGACCTGGACGACAGTTAGACAACTGCCTTGTGTGTTTCCTTTGTGTGCCTAGGACCTCTCATATTTGTGCGCTTGTATTTGCTTTTGATTCAATAATGTTTTATGATTTCAAGAGTGGATTCTACTACTACGTATTGACGAGAGTAGATACACAACGAACTGCTGCCGAAACTCTGCTCAACCAGAACGCTCACTCTACAAGCTAAGCTTGGCATAACTACTCACTTGGTTCACAAGTGATGTTAAGTGTTGCCTAGTTTTTGTTTGTGGTACTGAGTTAATCGTTTCCGCATAGTACTTAGCCTTAACACGTGGTATCAGAGCTGGTCCTTAGTCGTTCCTGACATACCCGACGATGGGAGAGACTGGTGAAGAAGGGAACTCAGCCCCCGCGAGCAGTGGTAGCCAGGAATCTGGAGTATCCGCGCCTAGGGGAGCACGGACGAACCAGGGCCCGCTGCTTAGGGAAGTGCTGAAGAACTTCACAGTTGAAAATTTCAGTGGTGAAGGGTACGACGACTGGTCCTGGAAGATGCAGCTTTACTTTCGGCAGATAGGACTTCTCAAAGTCATGATCGGTAGTGAAAAGCGCCCCAGCAATCCGGAGCTTCAGGGTGATTGGGATGAACGTTCATCAGCTGGATATTATATCCTTTCACAGAGCCTGGACCTTGCCCAACGCCAGCATATAATGCACCTACTCCCGGAGGAAGAGTGTGGACCCAAGGCATGGAGAGTGCTCAAGGATCTACACGCCCCCACATCAGTTGTTGCTACCCTCATGCTGGAGAGGGAGCTCTCCGCCCTTCGCCTCAGTGAAGGAGAACCCGTTCAACCCGTCCTTGACAAGCTGAGAGACCTCTACGCCAAGCTCGCCATCGCTGGAATTGTCTACCCCGAACAAACCAAATGCATGAAGATGCTGTCGCTGCTGCCGGAGTCATGGATGATCTTCACAAGCGGCCTGAGCCTTCAAAACCAGAGCTCCTGGACCTTGGAGTGGATTCGCACCAAAATTTTCGAGGAGGACTTCAGGAGGCGCCAACTGAGGGGAGGTGAAGAGGGGAGCAGCAGCTACGCCATGCAAGGAGGAAAAAGGGGCAGAGGCAAGAAATGGCAAGGGGCTGGGAGAGGAGCGTCCAAGGAGGAGGAGCCCTCCAACCAGCAAGGCGGAAGAGGAGCAGGACGTGGTGGCGACCGAGGCGGCAGAGGGGGAGGAAGGGGACCGGGGAGAATGGAGGGCAAGTGCTGGTATTGTGAGAAAGTGGGTCATCCGTGGTTTAAATGCAGAACTAAACCCTCTTGGTGGACCCCCTCCAACAGGTCACAAGATGGGAGCGGCGCCGGAGCAGTTGCCGATGATGAACCGGCTGAACACGAAGAAAGGGAAGCCGGACAATTATTCCACGTTGAAGAGCCGGGAGAGGACGCTGTGGCCGCACACGCTGGAGCTGCCCTGCATCCGCTCAACACGTGGATCTTGGACACGGGGGCAGCATGGACCATGACTCCAAGGCCTGACCTCCTTGACAAAGTGGGGACTGCACCGATTGCGGAGGTGAAGTCGGCATCCGAGCATGCTCTCAAGGTGACGGGGGCGGGACGTGCTCAATTCAAGGGAGCCGATGGCAAACCAGTGGTGCTAAGTGATGTGCTTCTAGTCCCTGATCTCAAAGCTAACCTTATCTCCCTCAGGAAGCTAGGAAAGTGCGGGGTCAACACCACCACCGATGGTGCCAAGACATACACGGGGCAGCTGGGACAGCGGGTGTTGTGGGACCTTCACGAGAGCCGTGACATCTGCAAGTCTATGTGGCAGCTGCCGGTTGTGCCATGGAGCAAGGAGGGAGGAACTCAGGGGGAGTGCAATGCTGTAGCTGCAGAGGAGCTGAAGGTTTCGGCAAAGGGTGGAGAGACTGACTGGATGACAGCTCACCGCCGCCTCGGGCATATTGCTATGCCCGCACTGGAGCAACTGCACAAGGAGGAAGGGGTTAAGGGACTGAAGCTGACAGGTGCAGCAACAACCCACAAGTGTGAAACTTGCTTGCTAAGCAAGTTTACTCGGTTCCCGTTCCATGCAACCGAGGGTGGCGGTAAGAAACTGCTGGAACTGGTGCACATGGATGTGGTGGGGCCGCTACCGGTTGTGGGGGAGCGTGGTGAGAAGTACTTTCTCACCATAGTGGATGATTGGAGCCGAGTTACCTGGGCATACCCCATCAAGAAGAAGGACCATGTGCCGTCCACCATACGCGATGAATGGCTGCCATTCGTGGAGAAACAGTCCGGGCAAAAGGTGAAGCGGATCAGGACTGATAGGGGTGGGGAGTTCCTTGGGGAGGAGTTGACTGCATGGCTGAAGAAGCAGGGCATCATTCGAGAACTCACCACCTCTTACACTCCACAGTCCAACGGCATAGCAGAACGGGCAAACCGCACGGTGTTAGAAACGGCACGGGCACTTCTCATCGAATCGGGGTTAGGGAACCCAAGGTGGCCACATGTTGTGCGCCATGCCACGGTGATTAAGAACAGGGTGTTCACCAACGTCGGTGGTGAGTCATGGGTCCCCATGGAGAGGTGGCTTGGGAGGAAGCCGCCAATTGACATGCTGCGTGTGTTTAGCTGCATGGCTGTGGCTCACATCCCCAAGGCACATCGCAACAAGTTGGGTGCAACGGCTGCGTGGTGTGTGCATTTGGGGTTGGCAGCTGAAAGCAAGGGGTGGCTGCTGTGGGAGCCGAACAAGGGAGTCATGTTCGATAGTAGGGATGTCAAGTTTATCGAAGATATCACCTACGGGAGCTGGTCCAAGCAGCCAAAGGAGCAGATCGTGCAGCAATTGCAGCAGGCAACCATGGGGTTTGAGGTTGAGGAGGAGTGGGTTGGGGAGGAGACCGCAACGCCACACGAGGAGGAGGGTGCAGCAGAGCTTCCCGTGGTCAATGGCGTGGAGCCAACGGGTGCACCTGAAGAACCTCACCCCATAACACGTGTGAAACCCCCCACCCTTCCCTCAAGAAGGACCCAAACCAAATCCCTTCCCACAGGCCGTGGTCTCTCACCCATGATCGAGAGGCAAATGCGAGCAGCCGCATTGAAGCTGAGGGATTACGGAGGAACAAGGGGAGAGCAACAGCAACTTGATGCACTGCTGGTGCTGGAGAGCAGCCGTGATCCTGATGAGGAAGGAGAGGAGGAGGTATACTGTTTCATGGCACTTGCACCAACGCAGCCACTGACCATGGATGAAGCCCTTAAGGGACCAGACTGGGACAAGTGGCTGGCATTAAGAGATGCTGAATATAACAGCCAAATGGAGAATGGGACATGGGAGCTGATGCCACTACTGGAGGGGAAGAAAGCCATAAGCTGTGGCTGGATTCCAAGGATTAAAACTGACAACAAAGGAGCCGTGTCAGTTTATAAGAGCAGGCTGGTGGCAAGGGGTTATCAACAGAAAGAAAGGGAGGACTTCAAGGAGACCTTTGCTGCAACTGCCAAGTCACCAACATTGTGTGTTCTCCTCGCCGGTGCAGCTGTGTGTGGGTGGGTGATAGTGCAGATGGACATCACCACAGCCTTCCTCTATGGACTGATAGATGTGGAGGTGTTCATGTCGCAGCCGCCAGGTTATGAGGATGGCACCGGGCGTGTGTGCAAGCTGAAGAAGGCCATCTATGGCCTCAAACAAGCACCACGCTGCTGGTACAAGAAGCTGTCTTCGGTTCTAGAGGAGATAGGGTTCAGGGCGAGTGCATGTGACGAGGGCCTTTTCCTCATGGGGGAGAAGGAGAGCCTCGTCATGTTCCTGGTGTACGTGGACGACATCCTCTTGTTTGGGAGCAGCAAGCAGGAGGTAATGAAGGTGCAGCAGAAGCTGATGCAAAACTTCAAGTGCAAGACCCTGGGGGAGGCGAACTACTACCTGGGAATGCACATCGAGAGGGATGTCAGCAATGGATGGGTGAAGCTGCACCAGGAGAAGTACATCAATGACATGGGGAGCAAGTATGAGATAGAGGTCGGAAGGAAGATCACCACACCTCTTCCATGTGGATTTAAACTCATCAAAGCTAGTGAGAACGAAGGAGTGGATCAGCGGGAGCAGGCTCGTTTTCAGTCCATGGTGGGGAGCTTGCTCTATGCAGCAGTACACACCAGGCCGGACATCTCCTTTGCTGTGGGGCAGCTGGCCAGGGTGGTGCAAAATCCCACCGAGGAGCAGGTGGATGCAGCAGACCGTATCATCCAGTATCTGAACTCCTACCCCACCGTTGGAGTTCAATACTCAGCCGTGGCTCAGATGAAGCAGAAGGGAGCAGAGGTTCTCAAGGAGAAGGGGGAGCAGCTCGGGGAGAGGGAGCTATTCCTCACGGGGTTTGCTGATGCAACATGGGCATCTGAAAAGGAGGACGTACACGCGCGATCATGAACGTTCATGAGGGGAGTCAGCAGGAGAATTTGGCAGCAGTGCAGTGGAAGACGGTTATTCTACAGTGGCAGATCAAGCCAAATTCAAGAGCAGTTAAACAACCGTTTTCAATGACAGCAAGGCGAAGACCTGGACGACAGTTAGACAACTGCCTTGTGTGTTTCCTTTGTGTGCCTAGGACCTCTCATATTTGTGCGCTTGTATTTGCTTTTGATTCAATAATGTTTTATGATTTCAAGAGTGGGTTCTACTACTACGTATTGACGAGAGTAGATACACAACGAACTGCTGCCGAAACTCTGCTCAACCAGAACGCTCACTCTACAAGCTAAGCTTGGCATAACTACTCACTTGGTTCACAAGTGATGTTAAGTGTTGCCTAGTTTTTGTTTGTGGTACTGAGTTAATCGTTTCCGCATAGTACTTAGCCTTAACATATATGTTATGAAGAATATTATGGGAAAACTATGCTGCGTCGCCACCACTTCCGCGTCGCCTTCACTGTTAGGCCCTTATAACAACCTGACATGGAAACAAGCACGTGGAGATTATTTTTATTATGCCATCCTGATGTCATTTTGGGGCACAAAGCAGTGAAGGTGATGTTTCCAAATTACAAGGTGATAATTGCTAAATGATTGTTCTGGTTTTTATATTCTTTAGCTGGCGTTATCTCATGTGTAATGCCATTCACCCTTTAATGTGGGTTGTTTTTGTGTTTTGAGGTTATTTTAGCTGTGCAGTGATTTATATATTCTGTGGCAACTGTACAAGGCCCTGTTTATTACGTAGTCATGCTGATGTTATTTCACGTTCTGTTGTTATATAGTGAATTATATATTATACATTTTCAATAGAAAATGCTTATTACCAAAAACTAACACACTGTAAAGGGAATATAATCAGGCCATGCGCTGGCCACGTGTGATCCGAAACTGACCCAAATCTGACTTTTCCCGCCAAATCTTAACCCGTACCTGGCCCGTACCTGACTATTCCCGCCAAATCTTAACAAGTAACTGACCCGAGTCCTGACCCGTACCTGACCCGTACCTGACCCGAAAGTCACTTTTGGGTTAGCCTGTCTGACCTCAGACTAACCTAAAGTGTCAGTTCCAAAAGTAACTTTTGGGACAGATTTCCAGATGACCCGAATCTTGCCCGGAAGTCACCTGGGGGTCCCTTTTGGGTCAGTACTGTTAGAATTAGAGAAAACAGGAATGAATGAACTAGCACAAAGTTGGGTACAAGTAGGAAACCCTAAGTTTGTGTACCCCCTAAGGCTAAACCCACTATAGCCTACACAATGTAAACATACAATGTTTGACACACCCCCATAGGCGAAGTGGGAGACAACCAGAGGGTCACAAGACCAGTCAAAGCAAAGCAAAGCAAAGCAAAGCTCAGGGTGGATCTCAAGGATACCACACAAATTCCGAGCACAAGCAAGCGGTCACAAGACCAGTTCACATGCAGTTTGATAATAAACAAGAGGTACAGTGATCACAACCTAGCAAGTGTAAGCATGCAGGTATATATATAGAGATCACAGTACAAGCAAAGTCAAGAAGTGAGCAAGTGAGGGACAGTAGGCACAAGGCCTAGAACAGTACAGAAACGCTGATGATCACAAGGCTGAAGCGCCTTGGTGAACACATCAGCAGTGTTGGCCCGAGTGGCCACGTACGAAAGACGAAGCTGACCACGCTGCTGCAGCTCTCGAGCAAGAAAGTAGCGCAGAGCGATGTGCTTCGTTCTGTGCTCCAGTCTGTGCTCCTGACACAAGGCAAGGGCGGCCTTGTTGTCGACGTACAGCACTGGAGGAGAACGAGGCCGCTCTCCCAATTCGGTCAGCAGGTAGGTGAGCCAGTGAAGCTCCTGGGCAGCCATGGCTGTGGCGTAGATCTCAGCCTCACAACTGGAGCTGAGAACAGAGGAAGAGCGCGTAGAACGCCAAGAAACTGAGCCAGAGCCAAGGCTGAAGGTGTAACCCTGAGACGACCGCTGTGTAGCCTGGTCGTCAGCCCAAGAAGCGTCTGAGTGTCCTGTGAGGACAACGTCGCGCCGTCCTCCAAGCACAAGCCCCATGCCCGACGTACTGCACAAGTAGCGCAACACCCTCTTAGCTGCATCCATGTGCTCCTTCCGGTGACGGCCAGGAGCGACATAGCGTGCTAGGATGCTAAGAGGGTAGGCTAGGTCAGGTCGAGTGCAGGTCATCAGGTACATGAGGCAGCCCACAAGCTCTGGATACGGGCCACTCGGCTCTACGGACTCATCCGAAGGCAGAGCTGAGAGCGAGTGACCGGTAGGCAGAGGAGTGGGCTGAGGCGAGGAGTACGTGAAGCGGAAGCGCTGAAGGACCTGCTGCACCATGTGTGACTGAGTCAAGGTGATGGTGCGCTGTGCTCTGTCCCGGGTGATCCGCAAGCCAAGATAGCTTGTCAGCTCACCCAGGTCTGTGCACGTGTGTCTCTTCTGCAGCTCCGACTTCACGTGGGCGAGTGCCTCAGTGTCAGCAGTAGCAAAGACCAAGTCGTCTACGTACACGAGAACGTAGAAAGGCGGCAGAGTGGTGTCTGTGCGTAGAAACAGCGACGGGTCAGCAGTAGAAGGAGCAAACCCAAGAGCAGCAAGAGTAGTCCTCAGTGTGTCGTGCCACTCACGGGGCGCCTGGCGGAGACCGTAGACTGGCCGCCGGAGGCTCCACTGGGTACCAGGAGGGAATGACCCAGTGAAGCCAGGTGGGCGGCGCAGCCAGATCTCCTCGTGCAGGGTGCCCTGTAGGAACGCAGTGCTGAAGTCAAGGCAGTGGAGCTCGTAGTCACGCTCAGCAGCGACGTGCAGCAGAACCCGAAGAGTGGTCATCTTCGGGGTCGGGGAGAAGGTCTGAAAGAAGTCAACTCCCTCTCGCTGACTGAAGCCTCGTGCAACGTAACGCGCCTTGAAGACAGGCGGAGAACCCGGCGGCCGCTTCACCCTGAAAATCCACATGCCACTGACTATGTTCGCCCCAGGTGGGGGAACCTCGTCAACGTTGGTGCCTGTGGACTTCCAGGAAGCCATCTCTGCGTCCATGGCTGTCTGCCACTGAGAGGAGTAGAGACCCTCCATCGCCTCTGCGTAGGAGCATGGGGTCGGGATGTCTGGTGCATCTGGGTCTCCCTCAGGGGCAATCAGCATGGACACGTGATGAGGTAAAGCAGCAGCAAAGCACTCAAACTCCTCCTGTCTGTCCTCAAGGACGTCCGTGCCAAGAGCACACTCACCCCCGACGGACGGAGGACAGACAGACTCAGACTCAGCGACAAGGCTAGCGGCGTAGTCTAGACGACAGGCGGCAGCAAAGTCAACAAGCTCAGCGACTAGAGCAGACGCAGCAGAGGACTCAAAGGTAGGGTCAGTGACAACAGTGGCAAGGAGACGCGCGACAGTAGGACTGGCAGCACGAGTAAGGTCTGACAGCGGGTCGGCAACGTCAGGAAGAGAGGACGCAGGAGGAGACGGCAGAGGGACGCGCTGTGGAGCAGTGGACGGACGCAGGGTCATGTAGTGAGTGCCCAGGACAGGAGGAGGACGCTCACGTGGAGCACGACGACCAGTGCGGGCAGTGCGGACAGGCGACTCTGGACGAGACTCAAAAGACGCAGGACTAGACTCAGGCAACGGAGGCCGAGACTCAGGCTCACGACGCTCCGTAAGACTACCCGACGGCGCAGTGTAAGGAGAAGGAGCAGGCAGCGGAGAGGCAGACTGTAACTGTGACTGCGACTGGACATGCGGTGGACTCAGTAGGGGAGGAGAAGGACCAGTAGAGGGCGGGAGACCAAGAACCTGCTGAAGGAGTGGAACGTAGTACGGCCTCGGCCGCTCAGCACCTCCAGCTCCAACCCCCTCAGCAGGCTCAGTCCCAGCAGCTCCAGAACCTCCAGTACGAGCACCTCCAGGACTAGCAGCTCCAGTAGCTCCAGCTGCACCCGCATCTCCAGCACCAGCAGCACCTCCAGCAACGTCAGTAGCACCAGTACCTCCAGCAGTACCAGCAGCAGCAGCACCACCAGCAGCGCCAGCAGCACCGCTAGCAGCAGCAGCACCTCCAGCAGCGGCAGTAGCTCCAGCACCAGCAGCACCTCTAGCAGTGTCAGCAGCACCAGCACCAGTAGCACCTCCAGCAGCGCCAGCACCAGCAGCACCTCCAGCAGCTCCAGCAGCACCGCCAGCAGCAGCAGCACCTCCAGTAGCTCCAGTAGCTCCAGCACCAGCAGCACCTCCAGCAGCGTCAGCAGCACCAGCACCTCCAGCAGCACCAGCACTAGTAGCACCTCCAGCAGCACCAGCAGCACCAGGGTCCGCGACGCGAGGAGCGCCACTCCGGAGACTGCAGTGCCGAGCGTACCACTCTCGGAGCTGCTGGGGAGAGGGCAGCGCCCGCCTAGGAGGGGAAGCACTAGCACCAGCTCCAGCAGCGCTCCTAGCTCCAGAAGCACCCCTCCTGAGGCTGCAGTACTGTAAGTACCACTCACGCAGCTGCTCTGAGGAGAGAGCTCCTCCAGGTGTAGCACTCCCAGGCTCAGCACCCCCAGACTCAGCACCCCCAGACTCAGTACCCGCAGGCTCCGCACCCCTAGGCTCAGCACCCCCAGACTCCGCAACCCCAGGCTCCGCACGCTCAGGCTCAGCACCCCTAGCAGGACGAGAGTCGACAGCTACCTCGACAGGCTCAAGCGGGTCTACCTGGGACACACCTGAGGGAGCGGCACCCTGAGGGGGGAGGGGGTCTACCACAGCAGCACCTGGCGTGAGGAAGAGAGGCGGGGGGGGGAGCGGGGCAGTGCGGTAGGGGAAGAGGCGGTAGTAGGGCACCGACTCTTCAAAAGTGACGTCCTGAGAGGGCAGGACACGGTGCGAGGTGGCGTGGTAAAACTGCCAACCAGACGCGTCCGGGACAAAGCCAAGGAAGACACAAGGAACAGCGCGGGAGGAGAGCTTGTCCGCACACGTATCGCGGACAAAAGTTCGAGATCCCCAGACCCGAAAACGCGACGCATCGCCAACCTCCCCCGTCCACAGCAGTGTGGGTGAGGTCTCCGGCAAGGAGACACGGGGCCAGAGGTTGAGCTGATGCGCAGCGTATCGGACCGCAAACGGCCACAGAAAGTGGGGGGCAGCCGCATGAATCAAGGAGGTACGAGCGACCTCCATGACCAAGCCAATGCGGCGCTCAGCAACCCCATTCTGCTGTGGAGAGGCCGGAAGCGTGAACGACTGCTCAATGCCGTGCTCCGCACAGTAGGCTGCCAAGAGGTCGGAGGAGAACTCACCACCTCTGTCAGAGTGCAGACGCAAGACAGGAAAGTCCGAGTGGAACCGCTCGCTGAGCTGGAGACGAGAAGCACGGATCCAAGGGATCAAAACAGCAGGGACCTCACCCTTGGTGCGCAAGGGGAAGACCGTGGTGTAGCGCGAGTAGTCGTCAACAACGATCAGGAAGTACCTCTCCTGACCCTGTCCACGGACGCGGGCTGGGCCCCACACGTCCATGTGGAGCGTCTGCAAGGGAGCAGTCGTCAGGGGAAATGAGGAGGAGTGAGGAGCGGCGCGCTGCCGCCCCTCGACACAAGGAAGACAGGGAGGAGCAGGCGAGGGTGGGAGGGGAGGGAGTACCCGGGGAAGACCAGAGACAAGGTACCGTTTGTGCATGGCACGAAGGCGCTGCACTGACGGGTGACCAAGGCGGTGGTGCCAGAGGACAGTCTCGTGCGCCAGAGAGCGACACGAGCAGGGGGCTGACAGCTGACCTGACGCAGACGCAGACGCAGCTACCTGAGGGGACTTAGTGGTCAATGTGTACAGGTCCGACCCCGGCTGCCTAGTGAAGGTAGCCAGGTGATGGCCCGTCCGAGCACACGTGCAGTGTGTCACACGCTCGTAGGCAGGGGTGAACTGGTGGACACCCCCGTCCTGGAGGGCACAGCCTGCCACCAAGTTCGTAGAGAACGAGGGGAGGTGGAGACCTGACAGTGTGCCCGACGGAACCGCATGACAAGGAAGGACAGTGGAGGAGGTCGCAATGACCGGACCCCCAGAGCGGTCAGCAAGGGAGACAGCAACTGGCCGAGCAAGCTGCTCAAGGGCAGTGTGGTCACGAAAGAAACAGCGAGAAGCTCCTGAGTCTAGAGTGAAGGTGTGCAGTGCCTCAGTGGACTCAGTACCTGGGGGGGCAGACTCACTAGCACCTGGAGCAGCAGTCTCACCAGCACCTGGGGCAGCAGACACGCAAGCACCTAGAGCGGCAGCCTCACTGGTGCGAATGCCCGGGTCGGGCGGAACACCCCGGTACTGATCACCCTCTCCACTAGTAGACAACACATACATGGCAGTCTGCTGTCCGCCAGCGCCACCACGACCACCACTCCCCTACCTGTTCCCAGACCTGTCCGCTTTCGCCAGAGTAGCTGACCTCACCACGCACCTCCGCACTAATGAGGCTCGCTTCCGTGCCGCTATGCCCGCTGAGTTTCTTGCCACCCACCCCCCCCCGCTCTAGCTCACTCTCTACCACCTTGTCACCCGTCTCCCTGACTCTCTTCGTGCGGTCAGGGACCACTTCCTCGCTCGCTCCCCCACTGAGCTCACCATAGACCTGCTCGAGAAGGAACTGCTTGAAGCAGAGACTAGCATAGTCGCTGTAGCTGCCTCTCGTGGCGACCCCCGCACCCCTTTCTTCGAGGGGTGTTCCCCTTCCCCCCTTCTCCCCTCTGTCGCCTCTGCTGCTGCTGTCGACCTAGTTAGTACTGAGCAGGTCGGGACTGCGTCCGCTCCGAGCTGGCGCCGCAGCGGCAAGGGCAAAGGGGGCAAGGGAGGTGGAGGTGACGGCGGGGGAGGTGGGGGTGGGGGCGGTGGCGGCGGTGGGGGTGGTGGCGGGGCTGGAGGGGCTAGTGGCAGCGGTGGGGGTGGAGGCGGCAGCAGCGGAGGAGGTGGCCGGGGTGGGGGCGGTGGTTGGGGAGGCGGTGGACGCGGAGGCGGCAGGGGCGGTGGTGGTCGAGGTGGTGGCGGCGGGGGTGGTGGTCGTGGTGGCGCTGGCGGACAGCAGACTCCGTCGCCCCAGGAGCTTCGTGAGTGGTACTCTCAGCACGGGGGGGGGGGGGGGGGGGTGGCCTTAGCTGCACGTACGTCATCCGCAATGGTGACCGCACTGGCCAGACGTGTGGGAGGGCGCACACCACGCAGCGCTGCTTCTCCCGCCTCGACGACGCTTGGCGCACTCAGTTCCCTACTGCCACTGAGCTGCCCCGCTGGTTTGATCTGATCAAGAAGAACATTGATGTCTATGCTCTGATACCATGTTAGAATTAGAGAAAACAGGAATGAATGAACTAGCACAAAGTTGGGTACAAGTAGGAAACCCTAAGTTTGTGTACCCCCTAAGGCTAAACCCACTATAGCCTACACAATGTAAACATACAATGTTTGACAAGTACATTTTAGAGATGCCGTCTCATGGTACATAAGCCGCTCGCCTCTCCTTTCCACACATCGCCTCTCCTTCCACTCCTCTCGTGCCACGCCACAACCACGACTGCGCCCTCGGAGGCTCATCGTCTCTCATCGGCGCATCACCTCTGCCAAAACTGCAGCCTTTCTCATCACCATCATGGGTTCGCACGGCGTGCCTGTGACGCGAAGCTTGGGCCTCCTACTCGCTGCACTGGCTGCTCTCATGCTCTCAGGTATGCTCTCGTTATCTTCTATCAGGATTTCCCCCTTCCCTCTCTCCCCCTTTTTTCCTAACAATGCCGTTCGCCTGTCAGAGCAACACCAGCTGAAGTCATTCACCTCCTCCCGGGGAGCCCTCCCCTCCTTCCTTTCTCATACCATTCTTCCTCGGTTCTTCCCCTTCCACCCCCCTTCCCCCCCACCCCGCCTTCCCCCACCCCTCTCCCCCATGCGCGCTCAGCCTGTGCGCCCAGGGCTGCCGCCATTCGCCATTCGCAGGGCCTGCTGACAGCTGCTTCAAGCACCGCCGCCGACCGTAAGTCACCCGCCGGAGATTCATCTTTTCCTTCCACACCCTCAAACGCACCCCTGCCCGTCTGCTTGCCCGCAATCCCTCAAAGGCTATGACGGACGCTCATCCCTCTTACCACCCCTCCTACTCACCACTCACCACTCACCCCTCACCACTCTCCCCTCTTTCTCTCTGGTGACTTTGAAAACTATCCGCCAGACTCGTGTGTGCAGCGCAACTGCGGCGCCAATGCGGTGTGCATGAAGGAGAGGGGCGATGCTAGATGCGTCTGCAATGCTGGATTCGCCATGACCCCCACCGGCTGTGTTACTGCTGGTGAGTGCTGCTGGTGTGTTGTGCAACACAAGAGTGTGTTCGTCGAATAAGTTGTATAGTCTCACTAGCTCTCTATTCACATTGCATCTACTTCTCTCCTTCCCGTCCTTCTCTCTTCCCTTCCCTCTCTCCTTCCCTACTTTGACATCTCGTTTTTTCGTTTGTGTCAGATGTGTGCACCATCAAGAACTGCGAAGGCTCTGATCCCAATTCCGCTTGTGAGAAGGAAGGGAACCTTGCGACCTGCGTGTGCAAGACTGGATATGCCATGGCAGACGGCAAATGCACTGGTGCGTTTGACGGTTGCGTTGTGCTCTTGTATCGCGCACTTTATTCTGTGACTCTCGTATAAAACATCTTGAATCCCACCACCCTCATTTCACGTTCCCACCACCCCTCTCCCCTCTGCACCACCTCCACCCCCACCCAGTGACGTGCTCTATGGCTTGCACTGTTGCGAATAAGCACTGCGACGAATGTCAGAAGTGTGTGTGTGACAAGGGTTATGACATGCAGGATGGGGCATGCGTCTCCATCCCACCTGCACCTGAAGTCGGTGGGTGATGCAAGCTTGACTTGAAGTGCTGCTGTGCTGCCTCCTGTGCCATGGCTCCACTACTCTCACGCGTTCCCAACATCTCGTTTAAAGCATCTTGTCGTCTTCAATCTTGAATACAACCACCCCTCATTTCATGTCCCCACCGCCCCTCTCCCCTCTGCGCCACCTCCACCCCCACCCAGTAACCTGCGCTATGACTTGCACTGGTGCGAACAAGCACTGCAACGAATACCAGAAGTGTGTGTGTGACAACGGTTATGACATGCAGGATGGGGCCTGCGTCTTCATCCCACCTGCACCTGAAGTCGGTGGGTGATGCAAGCTTGACTTGAAGTGCTGCTGTGCTGCCTCCGGTTCCAATAACTTCACTACTCTCATGCGTTCCAACATCTCGTTCCCAACCTCATTTCACGTTCCCACCACCCCTCATTTCACGTTCCCACCACCCCTCTCCCCTCTGCGCCACCTCCACCCCCACCCAGTGACGTGCTCTATGACTTGCACTGGTGCGAACAAGCACTGCGACGAATATCAGAAGTGTGTGTGTGACAAGGGTTATGACATGCAGGATGGGGCGTGCGTCTCCATCCCACCTGCACCTGAAGTCGGTGGGTGATGCAAGCTTGACTTGAAGTGCTGCTGTGCTGCCTCCTGTGCCATGGCTCCACTACTCTCACGCGTTCCCAACATCTCGTTTAAAGCATCTTGTCGTCTTCAATCTTGAATACCACCACCCCTCATTTCATGTCCCCACCGCCCCTCTCCCCTCTGCGCCACCTCCACCCCCACCCAGTAACCTGCGCTATGACTTGCACTGGTGCGAACAAGCACTGCAACGAATACCAGAAGTGTGTGTGTGACAACGGTTATGACATGCAGGATGGGGCCTGCGTCTTCATCCCACCTGCACCTGAAGTCGGTGGGTGATGCAAGCTTGACTTGAAGTGCTGCTGTGCTGCCTCCGGTTCCAATAACTTCACTACTCTCATGCGTTCCAACATCTCGTTCCCAACCTCATTTCACGTTCCCACCACCCCTCATTTCACGTTCCCACCACCCCTCTCCCCTCTGCGCCACCTCCATACCCACCCAGTGACGTGCTCTATGACTTGCACTGGTGCGAACAAGCACTGCGACGAATATCAGAAGTGTGTGTGTGACAAGGGTTATGACATGCAGGATGGGGCGTGCGTCTCCATCCCACCTGCACCTGAAGTCGGTGGGTGATGCAAGCTTGACTTGAAGTGCTGCTGTGATGCCTCCGGTTCCAATAACTTCACTACTCTCATGCGTTCCAACATCTCGTTCCCAACCTCATTTCACGTTCCCGCCACCCCTCATTTCACGTTCCCACCACCCCTCTCCCCTCTGCGCCACCTCCACCCCCACCCAGTGACGTGCTCTATGACTTGCACTGGTGCGAACAAGCACTGCGACGAATATCAGAAGTGTGTGTGTGAAGGGTTATGACATGCAGGATGGGGCGTGCGTCTCCATCCCACCTCCAGATGAAACCGGTGGGTGATGCAAGCTTGAATTGAAGTGCTGCTGTGCTGCCTCCGGTTCCAATAACTTCACTACTCTCATGCGTTCCAACATCTCGTTCCCAACCTCATTTCACGTTCTCACCACCCCTCATTTCACTTTCCCACCACCCTCATTTCACGTTCCCACCACCCCTCTTTTCACGTTCCCACCAACCTCATTTCACGTTCCCACCACCCTCATTTCACGTTCCCACCACCCCTCTCCCCTCTGCGCCACCTCCACCCCCACCCAGTGACGTGCTCTATGACTTGCAGTGGTGTGAACAAGCACTGCGACGAATATCAGAAGTGTGTGTGTGACAAGGGTTATGACATGCAGGATGGGGCGTGCGTCTCCATCCCACCTGCACCTGAAGTCGGTGGGTGATGCAAGCTTGACTTGAAGTGCTGCTGTGATGCCTCCGGTTCCAATAACTTCACTACTCTCATGCGTTCCAACATCTCGTTCCCAACCTCATTTCACGTTCCTACCACCCCTCATTTCACGTTCCCACCACCCCTCTCCCCTCTGCGCCACCTCCACCCCCACCAAGTGACGTGCTCTATGACTTGCACTGGTGCGAACAAGCACTGCGACGAATATCAGAAGTGTGTGTGTGACAAGGGTTATGACATGCAGGATGGGGCGTGCGTCTCCATCCCACCTCCAGATGAAATTGGTGGGTGATGCAAGCTTGACTTGAAGTGCTGCTGTGCTGCCTCCGGTTCCAATAACTTCACTACTCTCATGCGTTCCAACATCTCGTTCCCAACCTCATTTCACGTTCCCACCACCCTCATTTCACGTTCCCAGCACCCCTCTCCCCTTTGCGCCACCTCCACCCCCACCCAGTGACGTGCTCTATGACTTGCACTGGTGCGAACAAGCACTGCGACGAATATCAGAAGTGTGTGTGTGACAACGGTTATGACATGCAGGATGGGGCCTGCGTCTTCATCCCACCTCCAGATGAAATTGGTGGGTGATGCTAGCTTGACTTGAAGTGCTGCTGTGCTGCCTCCCGTGACATGGCTTCACTAGTCTCATGCATTCCCAACGTCCAGTGTAATATACATTCCCCTTATTTCATGTCCCCACCACCCCTCTCCCCTCTGCGCCACCTCTGCCCCCATCCAGCGCCATGCAATCTGAGCTGTGGAGAGAACAAGCATTGTAACAACACTAATGGAGTGGCGTCATGTGTTTGTGACATTGGTTTCGAGATGCAGGCGGATAATACGTGCAAGGGTAAGTGCAAAGTGTTTTGCATCTGTGTTCAATGGCTGTTGTGTGCTTCTGTGTCACAGCCTCTGCAGCTGTATACTAGCGCGTGCAGCTGTATACTAGCGCGTGCAGCTGTATACTAGCGCGTGCAGCTGTATACTAGCGCGTGCAGCTGTATACTAGCGCGTGCAGCTGTATGCTGTTGTGCTGCCTCTAGCGTGTGACAGTAGTAAAAGTTTTCTCACGCCTCTTTGTGCATTCCTGCTTCAAAGTCTTGTTTATTGTTCAATCCCACCCTTGCCTCTCCTGCCTGAATCTTTTCTGTTTTTTTCAATCACATCACTGTCCAGTGTCTTATTGTCCGACTCATCCATTACACCTTATGTTTCTTCATCCACCCACTCCTGGTCCCACTGTTCGTGTCTCCGTCTGCTACGTTTTTTTCACCTCAACTCCTTCCCAGATCGGTGCGATGGCTTTTCGTGTCCCGACAGCTCTGGCAACTCTGACCCGTATTACGCACACTGCGAGAAGTCGCCTGTCACAGGGGACCCATTTTGTGCTTGCACTTTCTGGATGGACCCAGTTTATGCAGAAATTTACAACTGTGTTGGTAAGTTCTACGCGTTGAGGAATCATTGCTAGCTGACCCATTGTGCTACCATCTCTTGGTCTCTAGACCCCAACCTATGGACCTCCTACCCTATTCGTTCCATCCCTTTCAACCTCTTACCTTCTAACGGTGACAGTCCCCCTGACTGCCATGTTGACTGCCGTGCTGACTGCTATGTTGACTGCCGTGGGATTAGCACACGGCAATGTTAGGAGATGTTGGTGTTATACTTGCGATGTGTTTCCGTTCTCCCTCTCCACCTCTCCACCTCTCCCCCTCTCCACCTCTCCACCTCTCCACCTCTCCCCCTCTCCACCTCTCCACTTCTCCCCCTCTCCCCCTCTCCACCTCTCCCCCTCTCCACCTCTCCACCTCTCCCCCTCTCCACCTCTCCCCCTCTCTCCCTCTCCCCCTCTCCACCTCTCCACCTCTCCCCCTCTCCCCCTCTCCACCTCTCCACCTCTCCCCCTCTCCACCTCTCCACCTCTCCACCTCTCCACCTCTCCACCTCTCCACCTCCCCCCCTCTCCACCTCTCCACCTCTCCCCGTCTCCACCTCTCCCCCTCTCCCCCTCTCCACCTCTCTCACTCTCTCCCTCTCCCCCTCTCCCCTTACCTCCTTCAAAGCATCTTGTCGTCTTCAAACTCGAATCCCACCACCCACGTTCCCTTCACCCCTCTCCCCTCTGCGCTGCCGCCACCCCCACCCACTGCCGTCATGCACAAAGGTCGAGTGTGGTATGAACATGCACTGTGACACGTCATCGGGGACGTGTCTTTGTAACGATGGCTTCGTGCTGGACCCGGGTTATGGTTGCATGGGTACGTACGTGCTGAGTGTTGTGCATCTGTGGTCAATGCCTGCTGTGTGCTTCTGTCTTGCAGCCTCTGTGATCTAGCGCTTCCAGCTGTTTTCGTGTTACCTGTGTGTGTGACTGGGGTTACGAGGTGCAGTTGGATGGGGCGTGCATCTTCAGCCCACCTCACCTGAAGGCCGTGGGATATGATACCTTGACTTGAAGTGCTGCTGTGCTGCCTCCAGTGCCATGGCTTCACTACTCTCATGCGTTCTGAGCATCTCGCTCAAGATGTCTTGTCGTCTTCAATCCTGAATCCCGCCACCCTTCTTTTCACGTCCCCTCCGCCTCTCCCCTCTTTTCTGCCTCTCCCCTCTTTTCTGCCTCTCCCCCCACGCAGATCCCTGTATGTTCCTGAACTGTGGTGATAACGGCCAATGTAAACCTGATGGTAACGCGGCCACTTGTGTGTGTGTCGATGGTTACGAGATGCAGAATGGGGCGTGCGTCTCCAAACCACCTCCACCTGCAATCGGTGGGTGATGCTAGCTTGACTGTCAGTGCTGCTGTGCTGCATCCGATGCAGTGTCATCACTACTCTCATCTCATGTGTTTCCAACGTCTCATCTCACGTCCCGTCCACCACTAGCTTGAGTATATTGTCGTATATTGAGTAGCTTGAATCCCACCACCCCTCATTTCATGTCCCGTCCACTCGTCTCCCCTCTGGGCCGCCTCTGCCTCCACCCAGGGCCATGCAGTCCGAGCTGTGGTGCCAACGAGCACTGCGATGGAGGGGCGTCTTGTGTTTGTGACAACGGTTTCGAGCGAGATTGGACCACTAATGTCTGCACGGGTAGGTGCTGAGTGTTGAGCATGTGTGTTCATTGGCTTCTGCGGCTTCAGTGTCGCGCCCCTGTGATCTAGCGTGTGCAGCTGTTTTCAGACACGTCAGATGTGTGCTGTTGTGCTGGTAACTCCTGCTGTTGCAGAGTTGTCACGCCTCGTTGTGTATCCCTGTTTTACTACCTCGTCTCTTGTTCAGTTCTCCCCCTTTCGCTCCTGCCTTAATCTTACTTCTTGTCTAAACTTGTCTTGTTTTGGTGTGTTACAGTGTCGTTGTCCTACTCAGCTGTTACACGACATGTTTCTTTCTACATCCACCCACCCCTGGTCCCACCATTCGTGTCGCGGTGTGCCATGTTTCTTTCACCCCAACTCCTTCCCAGATCAGTGCCATTACACAGAGTGTTTCATGGGACAGACCTGCGAGAAGGATCCAGACACAGGGGCGGCATATTGTAGTGGCGCAGCGACCTTCAATGATGCTTGGTAGTAGAGTCGTCCACCCTATCTTGGTAAGTTCAACGTGTTCGAGTTTTCTTATTGAGGAATTAATGCTAATTGACACCTGTAGCACTGGCATCTCTCGTTTTCTAAACCCCATCCAATGGACCTCTCACTTCATCCCTTGCATGTCCATCGCCTTGTTTCCCTTTCCCCTCAACAGGAAAGGTGCCCTTAGAGTAGCCGTGGCAACGCATCCTCATCACTCCCTTGACGGCACCTAATCATCTCTCCTGTGGCCGCACATTCTCATCGCGCCTGTGAAAGCACCCATCAGCCACTCCCGTCATCCCATCAGCCACCCCCGTCATCCCATCAGCCATTCCCATGAGCCCATTAGCTAGTCTTTCAGCTGCTGTTTCTTGCAACTTAGGGCACGGCAGGCCAAGAGGCTCAAGGCATGGATTGCGTGCATCAAGACCGTCCCTGCTTGAGTGCCTCTAGAAGAAAAGGAAGGAGAGAAAGCCTTGTTTTCCTTACAAGGGGACAAGAGCTTCATGCACCAGAGTACAAGGCTTCAGTTGCATTCACCAGAGCACAGGGTTTATTTTATTGTTTTCTGTTTGCTTTTGGTGTGTGTTCGTTCCCATGTCATACGCTTGTTTTTTGTTTTCTGTGGGGTTCGGTTGGGTTGGGTACATTGCAATAAGGGAATGTACCCCTCAGAGTACATGACTAGCTAGGACTGCCTTGTACTATTATCTGTACTGTTTGCTTTATTGTTTGGTGTTCTCGAAACACGACCAGAATCAATATTAATGGTTTCACAGTTGCACTTGTGCTGATGCTACGGTGTTTTGTAGAGGTACGGTAAATCTCAACAGAATGCAAGGTGACGTTTTGGCTGATGCTTTTGGATGCGTCATCCTGTCCGGGGCGAACAAAAACTAAAACCTGTCGGAAAACCCCCTTTTGGCCTGGCTTCTTATCCCTGCTTCTGCCCCTTTTACCTTCCCTTCTTCTGCTTCTTGCCTGAGTTCTTCCTTCTGCTTCATCTCAGCCACTCCCTGCCCCCTCCTGTGCTCGTGCACGTGCTGCACGGGCTCGAGTCACAGGGCCAGCCAGCTGAGGCCGGCCGTTCTTCACCACTGCTGCATTGGTCTGGTGATCCACCGTCTGCTCCCCCTTCTCGTTCCCTTCTCGTTCTCCAGCACCGGCCGCTCATCCTTGAGTCTCGCACTGCTTTCACCTTCCACCTCACTGTCCCTAATCCCACGTCCAGTGTGTCCTGCTTGGCCCTCTTCAGATAGACCTCTTGTCCCACCGTCACTGCTTCCTTCCCCTTCCCTCCTCTTTTCTGCTACCGCTGCTCATACCTCTGCTCGCATCCCGCAACTGTGCTGTGTACAGGTTCTCTAGTTCGGCTGGCAGCATCTCTTTCATGTAGCGTGCTCTTGCTTCAGCCAGCGCTACCCACTTCTCTGCTCCCTGCACGCTCACTGGGTCAGTCAGCACCCGTGGTGCCCCCCTTGGCAGCACCGGTTCTCGCCCAAACAGCAGGCTAGTCGGCGAATGATCCGTCAGAGATGCTTGCCTCCCGAACCTATACCATGCTGCAATCCAATGCAGCTCCTCATCCCAGTTTCTCTTCCTCATTTCCCCGTATGCTCGCAGATTCCGTTTCAAGGTCTGCACGAGACGCTCTTCGAGTCCGTCATTTGAGGATGATAACGAGAACCCCTCCTGTGCGTGATGTGTGCCTGGTCTAACGGTCCCTGGAACTCCCCCCATAAACTCAGTCCCCTGGTCTGTCAAGACTTTCCCTAGTGCTCCAAATCGGCACAACACCTGATCCTTGAAGGCCTTGGCCACATGCTTTGAACTCTTGCTGGGGAATGCTTTGAACATAGCACACACCTCCAGCCACTTGCTTGCATGCTCTACCATGAGGAGAATGTATTGTTTGCCTCCCCTGCTGAGCGGCAATTCTCCTGCCAAGTCCAATGACCACCTGAATCCCAGCCCTCGTATCGTAATGACACCCCTCTTGCTTTGCTTGCACCAGGCTGGCCTTGCTTCGCTGACACCCCTCACACCCGCTCACCCATGCTTTCACTTGTTTCCTCATCCCTTCCCACCACCAGCAAGTTTTCAACAGCTGCATGGTCCTCTCATGCCCGAAATGGCCCAACTTATTGTGTACCTCCCTTATCAACCCCTCCCTATCTCCTGGTGCAGGTACCAGTTTTCAGCTGT